ATGTTGCTCACATTGCCTAAAATGAACAACGTATGGTTTTCTGGACTGTGAAAGAAATGATGTCTCAAGTCAGTTTTCAGTGACGTGACTGAAGACTTTTCTGGATGGCCGTGCGGATGCTTGTCAGAAACAGTTCATTTCCTTTCTTGGAGAAACGAACTCCGTTGCGTAAAAAAATGGAGTTGTCAAAAAACCTGATGTGCGGATGCTCAATAATCACTCCATCGAAGCGGTCGACAGCCTTTCTAATGCTAGCATTCACAGTCTCCCTGTCCTTATTGATTTCGCCTGGATTTCCATATATCCACACTTGACGCTCATTGATGGATGAATATGCAATTGTCATTGAGGGGAACTCTGTGTGCAATTGCATCAATTCCTTCTCAATGACAGAAGAAAGTTCATAAGCAGAAAAGAGTCCCAAATCATTGCCCCCAGCATGGATTACCAGTATGTCAGGTGGGCTCTGTGTGGATAGCTCCTTATAAAAACAAGGAAGGACTCCCCCCCAGCGCATTCCTCGTTTGCCAAACCACTGGACTTTGGTATTAAGTCCGAAATTTTCTCCGAAAATCTCTTTTGCTTCACCCTTGGCTCGTCTAATGTAACTGGACCCAATGATCCACACGTTTGTTTCTCTCTGGTCTTCTGGGCTCTCTTTCTTTTTCGGTGTGTTTTCACAGGTGTTGGTATCGCTCAAGGCCGTATCGTTTGTTTTCTGACCTGGGAGTCGGATAGTCCTGGACCAGGGACTTCTTTGGATGCTCTGTGTCACTGCTGCTTGTTCTGGCCTCTTGTTGCCTTTTGGTGTGTTTTCAGATGTTTTGGTATCACCCAAGGTCATATTGTTCATTTTCTCAACTAGGAGTTGGATAGTCCTTGGCGAACAACTTTTTTGGCTGCTCTGTGTCACTGCTGCTTGTTCTGGCCTCATGTTGTATTTTGGAGTGTTTTCAGAGGTTTTGGTATCACTCGAGGTCGTAACATCCATTTTCTCAACTGCATGTTGGAAAGTCCTTGGCGCATAACTTTTCTGGATGCTCTGT